GAAGAGGGCAAGTGCCACTCGTGCGAACGTTGGATTCGGATCGAGAGTACTAAGCACGGGGATGTCCTGGTACGTGAATCAGTATCGTATGACCTCACCTCCAAACTCACGCAACTTTTTCCGAAGATCCCCGAGCTACACTGGTACGTATCCTGTTTTGGTTATGGCGCACGGCCTGATCAATTGTGCGTTTTCAGGTGGAAACACGCAGCATCCTGCCACGGTACAAGTCGGCTCAAAGGTGACCAGGATCCCTACATTGAAGACAGTGTCTACCAACGATTGAGAGAGTACGAGTCGAAGTTTGTGACGCGCGGGGGAAGTAATCAAGGGCGGGGTTCAACGGCGGACGATCTGGGTGGCTCTAGCGCAAGCGCAACAGAACCTGTGTCCCTCGACAAACCAGATGAATATTATAGCCAAGGCTCGGGCAGCCCGCGGGCTAACACGAACGGGGAGGGGCTACAGGGTAGCTCAAGTATTTCAGGAAATTTCTTTGAGGGTATGGACTCGGACTCTGATCTTACGGACTTGAGCGACGACGGATAATTTATGAGTGGGTGTATCTGAAACGGCACTGTACGATCCGCATGTAACTAAAAACTCATTTATGTATTAAATACAATCCGGGCACCCATCTGCTAGCGGGTCTAGCTTCGTTATCGTTGGCATCTTGAGTGGGTTCCGGGAGAAAAAGAGGAAGGAGAAGGAGAAGAAGTCAAAAGGGGAGGCATGAACTCACTCGGGACCGTGTATAGGACTGTAACTTGAATAAATCATGTGTAGTTTGCATGCATATATGCTGCTTGAAGCATCCACTATAAGCTTGATGGTCATTTTTGGCGAGCGTCTATCTATTTGGCTTGCCATGTCAACTTGGTTGTATCCCGTGTTATGAACTCGGCCGAACCCACTACGCTATAATCCCTTAGTTTGTCCTATCATGTCCGATTCATTCCCTTTTATCTCCATTTGTACATAGATGCTCTATACAATCCCGGAGCGTCCCCGTTGATTGTCCGCATTGTTATATATAAACTGAAACAAGTGACCGCTTGGAGACCAGTGACTCGCCTCTTTATCCACTGAACCCCGACCAACCGCGGCACGCGGGAAGGGCGGGGAGGGGTTGCTGGATTGTCCATGACAGGCGAGGCGGCCACGGCTGCCAAAATCAATGTTGTCCGATTGGGCAACGAAGGTGGACTTCAGCCCAAGTCGGGTCGGACTCACCACCTCAAAAAGGCGCTAAACAAGTTTACCGAGGGCGGTCCTAACCGCTATCAAAGGCTCCTCGAAGATATTCAAGAAGCCGTAAAAGAGGTCATAGAGCGGGGGGAACTGCCTCGTTCTATCACTTCTTTGACTGCTTCTTGAATGTCTTCGAGAAGCTTTTGGTATCGGTCGGGGTCGCCCTCGGTAAACTTGTTTAGCGCCTTTTTGAGGTAGTGAGTCCGCTTCGGGTGAGTCAGTCCTGCCTCTAATTCGCATAGGGCTAATACTATATTAGGCTACGGTTGTTCGCGGCTGTCAGGGAGAAAACGTCAAGGCCATTACAGTGTGCGGGTAGTACTCCAATCTTTTGGTCGCCATTGCTCGAAATGCGCACAACCCTGCAGCGGGACAAAAGTGTGGAGGAGTTTTATTATACCGAGATGGACTATGTAAGCGGCTCGAAGACCGCGTCTATACCAGTTTACGCATACATTTGATTATTGGTCTTGGGCTCGTTTTTTTAAGTCATCCAGCAGAAACAGCTTGATTGATTCAGTCGTCATTACGCTAGACGAACGTTTGGCCCGACTGAGATTCAAATAGTGATTGAATATCTTGTATTATCATCGGTCGAGCGCAGTCGCTTGGCTCGAATACAAGAGTAGTACTCCCCGATCATGGCCATGAGACCCAACGCGCCCAAGTAGTCTGTGCGCATCTCACCCGGAACAGACGTAAAGCAATAGCAGCAAAACAAGTATGCCCACTGCCTGGATCATAACCCATCGCAAACAAGCGTGGCACAGACCTTCTTCGAGTGTAGCCTTTTCGCGAGCACCAACGGTCTTGCGGGACGCAGCACGGAACGCGATCGGAGGGGAAAACGGAAGACCGGTCTTGGGAGATAAGCCTAACAGAGTTCGCCAGGGGTACAATACAGAAACCACACAGGATAGACGAATGAATGAAACAAACATCCATGATTAGCCTAAGCGTGCTCAGAAGCTCACTTGAACCATAGCGACTCACCGTGAACGTACTGCATATGATAGTCTAGAAACAACCCGATCAGCCTCGCCACGTCACTCGAATACATACCACGAAACACTATACTCACTGAACGCAGACGTCTGTAGAACAAAGAGGATATGTGCGTCAGCATATACGTCGTGTATGCGCAGCCTTTGGAAGTGGGAGTGGGTGGTGGGCGGTCACGTGGCGAATTTGGCTGTGCAACAGGGGACGAAACCTCTTACAACAATCACCTGTTTTGCATCATGTATATCTCGCTGGTTTCTCACTCTCTTGGGATTTTCTTATGCTTAAAAGATAGCCCTTATTCAGGACTACATAACTGTATTGTTTATGTAACATGAGTCTCATTACACGTGGAGATATGGGCGTTCGGAGGCGTGGGGTCCGATTTCTGTCAGAAGTTCTGTCCAATACTGTAAGCTGAAATGTTCTAGTCAAGAGCCGGGAAGCGGCAGCAGCAAAACAAGTTCTGAGCACTGCCGGGATCGAACCGACGAACTTTGGTTGACAGATCTATCCCATAAACGGGAAGTGTCGAAGACCAACGTGGTAACCACTCCACTAAGCGCCCTTGGCTTTCAACTACCGTTGAGCCAATGGGTAGCGAATCCCTCCCGCTTCATCCCCCACCAACTTACAC